TATTATTATATATATGTATATATATATATATATATATATATTATTTTTTTTTTTAAAGAAGTTTGGTGGCGGGTTATTACGGCACTGTCACCACGCTCTCGAAAGTTCAAGGTTAACAGCGCGGAGCAGAGCAGGAAAACGCCGGAGCGATGGCAGCGAAACTTTACGCGGCGGCGACCGCGCGTGCGGGGCGATCTCCGCGTCCGGAGGGGCTCCGCACGGCCGTACCGCTCGGGGCTCCGCCTGCGCGCTGTGTGCCGCTCCGAGCGCCGAGCCGAGGGGCCGCTCCCCGCTGTAATGAAAACGATCTCCTGAAATGCAGGCGATCGGTCCCCTCCAGCGCTCTCCCTCCCGCCCCGTGTGCCTTCGCGCCGACTCCCTTTTCCCCTTTTCTCTCAGCTCCCAGAACTTAGAAGTTGAAAAATTCGCCGGTTACACCCTCCGGACCCCGCTCCAGCTCTCTTCCCAAATGAGACTTAAGTATTTCTTTTTTAATTATTTAATTACACAATCATCGTTTACACTCCTCCTCCTCCTCCTGCACATACATTCCAGCTCCGCCAGATTCCCCCTCCCCGGCCCTCCCTATTAATCACCGCCGAACGCCGCAGAAGGACCCGGCGCGCTTAGCAAACATCTCTCATTTTCCCTCTCCTCTGCCGGGAGAAAGTTGCGGCGGGGGGCGGGGGCCGGGGGCGGGCTGCCATCTGCAGGAGGTTTCTCTTCCTCCTCCCGCCGGGCGCGATCCGGCGGCGGGCGGGGCGCGGGGGCGCGGGGACGGGTCGGGGGCAGCGCGGGGAGCGCTGCGCAGGAGCTGCGGCTCCGCGCGGGTGAGGGAGAAGGGAAAGGGGCCGCGGGGGGAACGCAGAGTTGCCCCCGCGGTGCGCTGTGGGGCCGGGGTGCCCCCGGCCCCGGAGAGACCGCCGCCCGCCTCCCTCCCTCCCGAAGTGCGAGTTTGTTCGCGTCGGGCGTTTCGTGGCGACACATCAAGGAGAGGAGGCAGGTTCAAGTCAACCATGAAATGGTCACTTTTTAACCCCGTCCTGTCCTCATTAGGGAAATGCTCAAACACAGCCCATTTTCCAAGAGGGCTCTTAATGAGGGGAGCTTGCCAAGTCCACCAGCTGCAATCCCCATAAATTTACAAACCAGAAGGAGAAGGGGGATGGGCGGGGAGGCAGAGCACCCTACAGCCAGGTACTGACACAGAAACGGCCCCAGCCCTGCATTGACACTGCAGAATGCATCCCGTATCCCTGCAACTCCAGCTACACTCACACAGCCCCCTCGGATCTGCAGGGTTCTACCGACAGCCACGGCTTTCCCTTTCTACAGACCACATTAATCAGCGACGGGTTCAGAGCATGCATTGGGCAAGCAGGGATGAGGCAAACTCGGGGTTAACCGCAGTGAGCACATTTGTTTTCCTATCTGGTGTAGAATACCCCCAAATCCCATCATCTTTCCCTTCACCCAGACTGCAGAAGGCTGATAACACCAGCCCTAAATGCCGGAGTTTCCCTTTGAATAAATATTCAATTTAACCGGAGTTAATTTACCATAAAAGACATTCCCTTTGGCACAAACGCACCGATGTCCTTGAGCACACCTCTCTGCATGCTCCAACTCTTGCACAACACTGCAGACCTGCTATATAACCGCAGCGACTACTCTGCAGCCCCCTCCTCCTTCATACCCCTCTGCGAGGGCCCCACCAGCTGCACACATTTGGGAATGAGCCTCCCCTTCCCAGGTAGGGCTTGCAGAAGGCCGCAGTTCCTTCCCCAGGTGCAGGCCAAGGGATGTCTCTGCACTGAGCCCCATGCAATGAAAGCAAGAGCCATGCGGCCAAGTCCTGGCAGCGATGGAAGCCAAGCATGACAACTCAAACAGAGCATGGAGTGAGGTGAGGACCAACACCTCTGCTGCAAGAGGTCAGGTCAGGTTCACACCCCACTGAGCAGGCCCCCAGGTGCTGTGCATCCCTTCCCAAACAGGAGAGAGGTGTTGAGATACAGATGGGATGAAGAGGGCCCCTGCCAGAATGTCTTCTGGGAAACAGAACTGCATGGCCAGCAGAACTTGGAAGCATCTCCAGTATGTCCCATAGGAGGCAAGGTAGGCATTGCTGGAAGGAGGTAGCAGTGGGCTCACACTAGGCATGTTTGGGCTCCATGCCTTCTAGTTAATCCCAGTGGGAGCCCACATGGAAGGCAGGGTTTGCCCTGGTACACACATGGTTCCTTCAAAAAGAAAGCAAGCCAAAGATTTTTTTGAGAACAGAGATCTCCATGAAAATGATTAAAAAAAAAAAAAAAAGAGTAACTCCACACTGCCTCCCTGCAGAGGTGCATGAGCAGGTACAGGCAGACCTGGAGAAATGCAGTATAATGCTGCACGGTGGATGGACCCTGGCTGCAGGGAAACCAGGTGGAACGCAGTTTGCATGCCCCCAAGTGCCTGCCTGCAGCATTTCCCCACCCAACTCACCCACATCCTTTTCTCCTACCCCTGGGCACTAACACTGCTGCTACAGTTGCCAGTTCTCTATCCTTGAAACTCCGGCCGGGGGAAAACTGGAATTTTGTGTTCGCTGCCAGAGCAACACCAACCTCCGTGTGATGCTTGGAAGTCCAGCCATTATGTCAATGCCAGTAATTAAGGAAATAAATCTTGCCCCCTTCCCGCTGAGAGCCACCAGGAGCTGCTCCATCCCCTTGGGCTGCACGGACCCACCAGGCTGCAGGCACAGGGACACACTGGCACAGGGGCACACAAGCACAGGGGGCCATCCCGGCCAGTGCATGTGCAGCCCCTGCAGGGCACTCCTCCAGCTCAACTCACACCACCTGGATGGGGAGAGAGCACGAGGAGGGCTTTGGGCACTGGGACCAGAAGTACTTTCGGCAGCCCCACCACCCATCCTGGCTTCCCCAACAGCAGGAGTTCTGGTGCCCCAGACTTGCATGGAAAGTCTGTTTTTAACTCCTTGGTTTACAGCATTCACAAACTGTACCAGATGTTGGAAAGGGGCATTGCCCTTTGACTTCAGAAATAATGACGTTAAAGAGTGGAAAGGCCAGTGACATCTTCCCAAAGCAAAATTTTGACTGATGCCCTTTGCCTAGACAGCCGCTCACATGCTCTGACTTTGGAGTGCCAACGTATCACTGTGATTCAGAAAATACAAAAAGCGGCACTGTTAATGTTGAAACACACAACCTCATTTTTTACAGCTGCGCAAACGAGTCTGCTATTAGCCATGCACGTCCTGAACTTCTAGGAAACTGTGTTTTGACAATTTCAATAATTCCTTTGCAAAAGGCAGAAGCATTTGGTTGAGACATACAACATTTAATCCAAACGATTCAGTGTCAGAGAAACAGCTCCAAAATTTTTACATGAGGCCTCCAACAAGCATTGCAGATCTTTTTATGTCTAGTTTAAGAGCAACATCATTAATTTCTTTTTCACTCATGGTCAGCAAACGCAGCTCACAGACACACGCAGGCGATAGACAAACACTTGGGTGCATGCACAACTTCGTGCAGCACAAAGAAAGTACAGTTTATGTCCACTGCGTATAAAAAATTAACCCAAAGTGTACTCTATTGTCCCAGGGTTCCTAATGGTCATTCTAACTGTACAAACAGATTTCATGCCTTGCAAGGCCGCTTGTGGCATCACACTGAACTGCAAAGTTCCACATGTGTATTATGACCATAGCCTTGGTCAGTTTTCTTATGTGCAGGGGCAATGACTGCTCATACAGATGCGTGCACACAAGGAGTGGAGCAGCAAGCATTCAGGGAGCATATGTAACGACAATGAGCTAAATAAGCAAACTGATAACACACTGGTTTACGAGGTCTTGAGTTCTGTCATATGCAGCTGAATTTGTAACGCATTTATGGTTCTTTTCAAACACAAATAGCAATCAGTAAAACTTCTGAGTCAGTGGAGTAAAACACCTACATATCTTCATATTTAATAGCACTTTTCTGAGCGATCAGAAGAAACATACTCAGTATACAAAGTGTGTATGGTCAGACACAAAGCATGCACATGCACAATCAGAAGCAGAGAACTTTTGGCTGAGCATAGAAACACGAAGGGAGTGCGCTTGACCTCTGTCTGCATACGGTCGGATGGGGGCTGCAGTACTCGAGCTTTCCACAGCTCCCAGACCAGCAAATGAAAACATCAAACCTCAAGTGTAAAGCTGTGTAAACCACAGCGTTTTGGGTTACACAACTGCGCAGTTTTTGTCCTCGCTGCGGGTCATGTTCTCAGCCTCACAAAGGCACGGGAACCCTCTTACCCCAGTACAGTAAATTCTTACAAAAAAAAAAAAAAAAATCACATTTGCTGATCTTAAATCAGCTCTGGACACACACAGACCGCGGCAGCAGGATCCAGTCTCGGCCCCTCCTCTCTGCGGGTCCGTACCACTTCCCAGCGCCTCGGAGTGGGGGAGGAGAGGCTGTATGTGTACGTCTGCCCAAATCAGAACTGAAAAGCTATTTTTTTTTTTTTTTCTTTTCTGTGCAATTCAAAGTTAGGAGCAGAAGGGCAGCAGCACGACCGCTTCAGAGAGCTTTAATCTTGTGTGTTTTGGCGCCTTTTCCCTGCCAGCTACTGTACTTTAAAAAAAAAAAAAAAAAAAAAAAACAAGCTGGAGATGTTGTCTGTCCCGTCTGGAGCTCCGCGCAGCGCTCCCAGCAGCGGCGGAGGGCCGCGCTCCCAGCCCTCATAGCCATGCAGAGCACGGCTCCCCGGCATCCCGTGTCCGCGCCGAGCGGCTCCCCGCCCCCGCCGACCCGGGCTGCCAAGTCCTCACACACTCCGCATTCAACCACAGCTTAATGGATGGGATATTGTGCATTAAAATGTGGCCCAGACACAC